TCTGCTACTGTGTAGAGGCCGTTTTTCAATGGAAATGGACCGTTTCTGGCCCATCTGCCCTGTAAATCCTAAATCCTAAACCCTAAACCCTAAATCCTAAATCCTAAAGCCTAAATCCTAAATCCTAAATCCTAAACCTGCGTGGTGTTGGAGCAGCGTCAAGGCCGAGGGACGAGTGTTTGGGCCTTCTATGGTTCAGGAGTTAGGATTTGGGATTTAGGGTTTAGGATTTGGGGTCTAGGATTTAGGGTTTAGAGTGTTGGGGTCCAGGATTTAGGGTTTGGAGTGTTGGGGTCTAGGATTTAGGGTTTAGAGTTTTGGGGATGAGGATTTAGGGCTTAGGCTTTTAGGATTTACGGTAACTTTGAGTACTTTATAGAGACCCGACCACCCTATACAACAAACCTCGAAGTTAGGGATTACAATGGTACCCCCCAAAAGGTCCCCCCCCCAGATTTAGAACCCTATTAGAGCTTATCAAGCCTTATGTAGTACCCCAAACCCTAAACCCCTAAAACCTTTGGGAGGGTACTACCCTAAACCCTAGACCCTAAACCCCTAAACCCGTTGGGAGGGTACCACCCTAAACCCTAAACCCCTAAACCCTTTGGGAGGGTACTACCCTAAACCCCTAAACCCTTTGGGAGGGTACTGCTGTAATCCCTTGCGGAGAGGCCACAGAAGCAGTTGTGGACGCTGCGCTCCGGCTTCGGAAGTCTTTCGTGGTTGTCCCATGCTGCGTCTTGGCTTTCTTGCCCAAGGGTCCAAGGACCCAAAAAAGAGGCTCTCTTTAGAGGGGTTATAGGTGAAAAATATAGGGCAATATGGGACTATATGAGGGTCCAAGGGTTCAAAAATAGGGCTTTAGGGCCCAAATACCATTAATATCATGGTAGTTGGGCCCTAATGCTCTATTATTTTGTGTCCTTGGACCCTTGGGGTTGCGCTTGAGGGTATTGAGTGGACCTAGAGTAACCTTGGAGTCTAGTAGCCTAGACCCTACAAAAGCAAAGATGCCAACATATTCGGTACAGTTTTCTTCCATAGATGCATAGGTGCTGGGTTTGATAGCTCAATGGGTCCATATGCCGAAACATCGGATGCCTAAGATCTTATGTGAACGTATGGGCCAAAGTAATCGGCATTCACATTCTTCAACAAAACTTGTACTAGCGACGATGTGTATCCTACCCAAGTCACAAGTACTCAACTACTGGGTACCTGGACCCTAAGGGTGATAGCACTTGGAGGTTAGCTACGAGGTATGTATCCGCTGCCCGCCCAGCTACCCATAAATGGGTCTATGTAGGTCCTATTTGTGGTACTTAGGTCCTATAAAGGGTACTCCTCAACCCTAAAGCCCCTAAACTCCTAAACCCTTCAACCCTAAACCCTAAACCTTAACCCCTAAAACCCTAAATCCTAAACCCAATTGTTGCGGTACTTGTGGGGCGTCTAGGTATGACTTCAGGCTCATGATTCATGAATGCAGGTTGCGGGCTTCGACTCGTAGAGCTTGACATCTGCGGCCTTGTTGGCTATAGCTTACCCTAAGAGTCCAAGGACTCACATAATAAGGTTTCAGGACCCAAATACCATGAATAATATAGTATTTGGGTCCTAAAACCCTATTATTTGGGTCCTTGGACCCTTAGGGTTAGGGTTTGGGGTTTAGGGGTTTAGGGTCTACGGGTTTAGGGTTTAGGGGTTTGGGTTCAGGGCTCAGGCTTTTAAACAGGGGAGAAACTAAAGTGAGGGAGAGTCCAATAAACCAGCAAGACCTTCAGCTTAGCTTCGTCTAATGCTTTCAGTGCCGTTCCTGCAGCTGCCATTGAGCCCCCCAACCCTAAACCCTCTCTATTCCTCATGCGGAACCAGTTAGCCCGAAAAGCTCAGTTCTTGAGCCCCGATATGAACTCCTTTTTTCCACAGCCACGAACATACTATGTGGGCAACTGAGCGTTTAGGATGGTGCTGCTTAAGAGTCTGAGCTAATCCGCAAGCCCTAAACCCTGAAGTTTGACACCTGAACCCTGGACACCTTCCACCCTAACCCCTCAATCCTAGACCTTAGTCCCGAGCCCTCACTAAACCCTAATACTTGCCCTAAACCCTGGATCTGGTAAGTCGGAGACGAAGTCTGGCTGAGGCGTCTTCGCACGCCTCTTCCCCACAAGGCTCGGTTTAGGGTTTCGGGTTTAGGCTTTAGGGTTTATAGGCTCCAGGGTGTAGGGCTTAGGCTTTCCGGGGTCTAGTGTGTAGGTGTTGTAGGGGTTCATTCTCGCATGGGTCGCGTTGCACACTGGAGGAGAAGAAGACCTGTAGCTAACCCAAAGGGTCCATGTAGTTATATGGTATATACTTGGGCTTTAAAGTAGGTATATGGGAATTTTTTGGGGTCCTAAGTATATACCCTAAACCCTAAACCAACCTAAGCCCTTTGGGCCCTAAGTATATACCCTAAACCCTAAACCAACCTAAACCCTTTGGGCCCTAAGTATATACCCTAAACCCTAAACCATATACCTACATGGACCCTTGGGGTAAGGGTTGAGGTTTGCAACGGGTCTAGAAATTTTATCCTTCCGGGGGGATTCTAGGGTTTAGGGTTTAGGGTTTAGGGTTGAGATTGCCCAATTGAGGGTGTTGTATAACCCCTCCGCCAGAGGATTGTGTCCTGGCGCAAAGCAGGGGCATTTTGAGAGAAAAAAAAAGGTGTGTGTTTTGCTAGCACTGACACTCTTGGTGGTCTGTCGCAAGTATACAGTTGTTCTACTTACCTTTGGTTAGCTAGGAATGAAGGAATAGATCCTTATAGTCGTAGTCCCTATATAGCCCATTATAGTAGTTTCCATGTTCTTTTCCATTCCTTCACTCCCAGCTAACCAAAGGTAAGTTTAGTTTCATGGATTACGTCGTTCCAAACGTTGCGAGGAAAAAGTGCCCCATGGTTTCAGAACACATCAGGACAGAAGGCTTCTTTGGAGACAAGGGTTTAGGGTTTCAGTTTATAGTCCCCCTTCAGTAGATAGAATATGGGGTATATGGGGATCATATTATAGTGGACCCAAAGCCATATTCTATCTATTTAAGGGGACTATAGAGTCTAGGGTTTAGGGTTTTTAGACATTGCCGTCAGAATCCTATATGTGAGCTATGCCAATTACCCTGCGTGGTAGGCTCCAGATCCTACATGGGGCAGGGTAACAGACATGTGATTGCTTTGCAGGCCTTTTCCGGGTCTCTGTACCATGCAGTTCTGTGGAAAGAGCCCTACAGCTGGTTGCATGGTTGTTCGAACAACCCTGCCCAAACTAAGGTGGAATATGAGAGGAAGTCCCATTCAGACCGCTCTTCTTTGAAAAGGAGCTACATGATTTAGCGTGCAGGTAACTAGCCGGCTGCTTCCGCGTGCCGTGTAGGTCGAAACGCAACGACCCTAAACCCTAAACAGCCCTGTACACAAGCCATGGGCCCTACATAGAGCAACCGGTATACCTGAAAGAATGGTTTTGTACCTAAATGCTACTGCAATGCCTAAGCCGCAAAATCCTTAACTTTACCTAGAGCTACCTGTATAATCTACCTAGGAAAAGGCGGTTTTGTACGCTGTATTTTGGTATCTTTACTTTTTTTTAAGTGTCTAAGGTTACTCTCAGATAAACGTTAAACCCTGAATCAGGACCCTCGGTGGCCGTGGTGTAGCCACACTGTCGGAGCGAGTGCCACAAGTTTGCTGTAAGTGTTCATGCAGGTACGTACATGGTGTTTAGGACTTACTTGGCGGTTCATGAGAAACAGTAACTACTTATAACTAGGCTTATGACCCTGCCTATAACCCCCCTAAATGACCTTATAGGGGTTACCCCAGTTATGCGTAGGGTTATGTCCCCAACTGTAAACAGTTACTAAGCCCCAGGAACCTCAAAGTCAGGTTCAGGATATGGTGTACTTTTAGGGCCGAAGCAGGGGCTTTAGGGTTTAGGGTTTAGGGTTGTAGAATTACTTTCCCTACGGGTCTCAAGATCCAAATCTCAAGGTTTTAGGTCTCAACTACCATTCGCATCATAGTGTCTGGGCCCCAAGCCACTTATTTTGAGTCCCTGGACCCTAAGGCTTTTGGGACCCAGTATGTAGGGTCTAGGGTTTAATTAGGTACACAGTATGTGAAACCCCCTTAGGGTGGGGTTCAGGGCTTGCACTTTTCAGGTTTTCAGGTGAGTGGGTTTAGGGTTTATCTCAACTGCGCCTGAGATTTGGCGCGGGCAGCTGTACTTTAGATGCACGGGGAGTGGATGCGCCTGTTGATGTCCGGCCCCAACATCGTGAAGTTTGAGAAGTTTACGTTTTGGGATTGGCGTTTGTGAGGCCAGCAGATAAAGGCAGAAATTGCTGAAATTGCTCGAACCTATAGCCCAAAATGCTTAACCCTAAACCCTCAGCCCTAAACTTTACACCCTGGGTGCCCACCGAACAAGTGGAAGATGACTGGCGGGTTTTCACCTGCTCCCCCCTGATCTCCAATATGTCTCCCGTTCAGCCTATTCACTATTCATGATTAAGGGAATGCAGCCACCGGCATATGCAGTTCGACGGCATGTGCACCTGACATGAGGTCTGGTGCAAGTGGTAATGCGCAGGACAGTGCTCTCCCTTTGTTTCTGTTTCATTACATCTCCTACTCAGGGCATGTGCGTCTGTCATGAGGTCTAATGCATAGGGGGTAACATGTGACAGCTCAGCATGTGCAGTGGCTTTGGACACATCCACTACGAGAACCACGGATCCGAGCCCAAACAGCGTGCAGCAGCTATATAGCCCAGTCGTCCAGCTTTGCTGTTTTTACAAGCTATGGATGCTGCTAAGTTCGCAAATCCTTGGGTGAACGCACCCATGCCTCATCAGACGGCGCAACAGTTGCCGCATCAAGCCTATATATACAGCTGGCCAGCAGGGCCAACAGCGTGGGGTTGCTTTTCAGCAGCGCGGCCAACACGGCCTTCATCGGCAACAAGGTCAGCCATGCCAGCAAGCTGCCCTTCAGAAACACCACCGACAAGCTCCGGGGGTTAAGGGTTTGGGGTCTTAGGGTTAAGGGTTTAGAGTTTTAGGGGTTAAGGGTTAAAGGTTTAGGGCTTAGGGTCCCATAGTGGCATCCCAAACCCGAGCCCCCAAAGCCCAAACTTGCCCACAAAGAAAGCCCTTTGTAGTCCTAGGAGCCTCAGGGCAAGGTTAGCTTATCGGTTTTTAAGCTATGCGTGCACCTGATCATGGAAAACCCATGACCCACTGCGCAGAATTCTCGCTGCATTTGTTTTAGGGGGTGGGTCCAACAATTAGGCGCCCCTTTCTAGCTAAAGATTCTGCTATGTTGGGGTGCAGATCGGGAGTTCCCCTTTTGACAAAAAGTTTTCTCTCTTTTATGTTTGGCAAAACCGAATTTAATCGTTTAGGCCCAACATCGAAACCCTAAAGCCTAAACATTTACAAGCCCGATTCCAGGACAGGCCTCGACAGACACCCCAAAGCCACCCACGCTGAAATCCAACCCGATAGTTTATGGACCGTTTAGCTAATGTTCCTGGTTGCCTATGTAGAGTCATATGGGTTGTTCTCAAAAAGTTGTTTTTTGGCTGGATATGTATATATATTTATTTATTTATTTATGTTTATTATTATTGCGGCACTTAATATTCAGTGTTACCAGCGTGAGCCATAGTTTAAACCCCTTAAAGGGGGATTATGTAGGGGAGTATGGAGGGGACTAGTATAGGGGTCACTAAGTGGGATTTCAGGAGTTCAGACTATAGCTCATATCGATTACAACCCAGACTCATGCACACCCTAAATAATACTTCTACTTCAACGCAACCCCCCAAGGTAGAAGGCACTTTGAGCCATGCAGCTTCTTGAAGATGGTAGCTTCCCAAAGATAGGGGACCCCAACATAGACCCTAAACCCTATAACCCCATATCAGTCCCAAGCACTGAACCCCAAACAGGTAAGGGGCCTCTACCAGGACTTAGTAAACTTACTTAGACTGACTGGCTGTTAGCAGGGAAGATGGGAACAGAATCCCTGCATAAGGTATATATATATATACACACTACATTCCCTTTTTCTCTACTGGCAACCAGTATGTAGAACTGGGCCACACCGCTACTTGTACTTGCTGGGAACTACTGCAAGGCCACTTAGACAGATTTTAAGTAGCATGGTGCTCCGCAAGTGAGTTGTAAACCTAAACCCTTAACCAATATCCATCTACGTCCGCAAAACCTATACCAGAATGAAAACCACCAATCTTCAAGTACTTGTTAAGGTGCGTAAAATACCAAGTCCTTTTGTGAGGTGTATTTGAGGTTCTCCCTGCAACATTTATACAAGGTACCTCAGACTTGAATGCTGATGTTTATGTAGGCTTTCAAATCCTAAGCCGTAAACGCTAAACCCCAAACCCAGGAGGTTGGTTCCTATGTTCTTCCCTAAGGCTCTTGGACCCCCACAAGAAGATCGCAAACCTTGGCCCCTACAGCCCACATGAGGGTTTCCCGTACGTAGGGATACCATTTTCGGGTCCCCGCTTTCACAAGGACTATAGTATTTTGGTGTCTATCAGAAAGCCCATTGTAGTCCTGGGAGCTTCGAGGGCAAGCCCTGAAGCCTAATCCCTCAACCCTAAACCCTAATCCCCAGACCTTAACCCATAATCCTTGAAACGTAATCCTTACGCCCTAAACCTTAATCACTAAGCCCTATAACCCTGCACCTTGGGGTAATATTCAGCTTCAACGTCCCGTGAAAGTCCAAGTAGAGGAGTTTCGCGAATACCTTCGTCGAAAGCATCCAGAAGTCAACGAGGACGCTGCCAAGCCAGTTTTGGAGGTTTGGGTGTTTATCTCTTAGGGCCTTTGCGGGCTCTAGGGCTGAGGCTTTAGCGCTACTAGGACTGTTGAGGATCTAGGGTTTACAGGGTTCATAGAGTTCAGAGGGCTTTTGGGTCACTTCGGGGTGAGGGCTTGTGGAGATTTTCTCCATGGTGGTTAGCTGCAAGTGTTCCGGCGCCGCATCTTTGATAAGCGTCGTGGATATGGACCAAACTTGAATTCCTCTTTCAGGGTGGAAGGCTTCTTCCAGGTATTGACCCAAAGGCTCCATGTAGTTATAGGGTATATACTTGGGCTTCAAAGTAGGTATATGGGAACCCTTTCGGGCCCTAAGTATATACCATATACTTACATGGACCCTTTGGGTGAGGGATGCTCAATTTTGATTCCACACCCGAAGCCAGTGAAAAGTCCGACCACGAGGTGGCTCAATAGGCGGCCACCTCCTGGAGAAAGGCTCATGTACTTGGAGGGTCATGGGGACTTAGTAGGTGGATTAATGGGGACTTAGTAAGAATGGAAAAGAAAATGGAAGCTACTATAGTATTTAGGGTTTAGGGTTATGGGGGACTTAGTAAGTGGGCGAATAATGGGATAATTGGGGGTCATTATATGGCTTATAGGGGTTATTAACCCACTTACTAAGTCCCCATGACCCTCCAAGTAGACCTCTGATTAATAAACCCACTCCTTTTGAAAGGCTTCCAGTACAAAACTTAATATTAAGAGCCTTAAAAGGAGGGGGTTGAATTTAGTAATCAAGGGTCTACATTACATCCCCAACCTTGAACCCTTAACCCCAAACTCTAAACTCTAAACCCAAACTTGGAACCCCAAATGTCCCCAAATCCCTATTCCTGAGCTCTGCCTCAAATCGCAAGGCCAAAGCCCCGCACTCTAAACCGGAACTCATCATTTCCCAACTCAGAATGAGTAACTGCATGGAAATCACAAAGAGCTAAAGGCAGAACACACAACTCTGGACATGAACTTACACGACTTGTATGAACCAAAATACCCTAAACCCCTGCCCCTTAAACTCTGAACCCATAGGAGACGCTCCCTTTCGCCGGAGCCAACGTCGCCTTATACGCATGCTTCCATGAAGACAAGCGCGCGGATGAAGAGCCAAAAAGACAGGGTTGCTTTTAAGGATGTTTTCGGGGATCTATACGGATATAAAGTTCAGGGTTAGGGTTTAGAGCTAAGGTTATAGAGCCCTAAGCCCTAGTGGGAGGTCGCCAAGAAGGAGCCCTGAGGGACCCGAGGTACGTGCAGATGGTAGTGCTCCGCCTAGAGAACCCTAAGGGTCCAAGCTCTTCAATAATGAGATTCTAGGGTCCAAATACTAGACTCTGGCCTCAAGCCCTAAATTTCGATCCTGGACCTTGGGACTTACATTTGGTGACCCGGGAAATAAGAAAGGGAAAGCACAACATGGAAAGTACTACATCACCAGAGATTTTGCAGGCGACCTTCACCTAGGGACCGGGCGTTGAGGATGAGGGTTTGGGGTCTAGGGTTAGAGTTTAGGGTTTAGGGTTCAAGGACTAGGTTTCCTAGACTAGGTAAACCCTGGCCGCGTTGAGGAACTAAGGTGGGGCAGGAACTATAAGGTTTAGACAGTAGGTGTCAGGGCTGTGTGACATGGAGTTTGGGGTTTGGATTGCGCGGATTAAAGCCCTACTCTAAGGCTCCAAGTGCTCAATACTCATATTCCCTAAAACCAATACCACTGTTACTATTAGCCCGAACCCAAGCACTCAACCAAATATGGGCAGGTCCCCAGGGCTGAAAATGAGGCTAGACAAAAATAATGCCAACATCCTTAGACCCTTGTCCGTACTATTGCTGAGAGGACGGCCTTCTCAGTAAGATTATCTACCTAGCTTTGATGCAGCACTAGGAACCTTCCCCAAACCCTAATAGGTTTCCTAAGAGCTCCAGTTACCTAATCAATGGGAACTGGGTTCCTCTAAGGGTCCAAGGACCCGGCCCAAATACCATCAATCACATAGTATTTGGGCCCTAAAACCCTATTATTTGGGTCCTTGGATCCTTAGGGTTCTATATACCCTATAGTTACATAGCCCAGTAGCCTACTATTTAGGTTAGGGTTCGCAACCCTAATGTAGACCCATGATAAATAAACCCCCTCCTATGAAGGCCCTACCTGGACCCTCCAATGTAGTCCCTTTTTGGGTTTGGTATGGTTTTTGGGTTAGGACTCTTATTGGGACTACCAAAAAGGTACTACATTGTAGGGTCTAGGTAGATATTAGGATCCCTATCATAATCCCTACTAAGGGGAGGGGGGTTTATTACTCAGCGGTCTGGGTTTAAACCCTGGTGGCGTAAAGCAAACGATGTTACTATCAGAGTCAGACAAAGGTGTAATCGAAGGAGGAATGATTTAACTCGGGGATGAGGGTTTAGGGTTTAGGGTGCAGGGGCTAAACCGGAGGGTCCAAGGATCAAAATGATAGGGCTTTAGGGCCCAAGTACCATGAATATTACAGCATTTGCACCGTAAAAGTAAAATCCTGCTATTTAGGTCCTTGGACCCTTACGGTAGATGATTACCAATAAATAAATGTTGAGGTCTACTTGACGTACACCTCACTGTAGCCATACCAGGAATTTAGGACCATAATTTTGGTAAGTATTTGTCTACTACAGCAGATTTATTGGCTCAGGGGCTTTGGGCTTACAATAGTGAAGAACCAAATGGAACAGAACACGAAACATTTCATTAACACTGGGTTTCTATAGGAGAATTTATGGGTTGAAATCATTTACGACACTGTAGTGTTTACTAGCCTACGGCTCCAGGACGGCCAAATACTAGGGTTACAGGGGGATATATTGGGATTCATGGGGATTGCAATAAGGGTCCAAGGACCCAAATAATAGGGTTTAAGGGGCCCAAATACTATAATATTAATGGTATTTGGGCCCTAAAGCCCTATTATTTTGGTCCTTGAACCCAAAGTAGACCCCAAACCCTCAACCCTAAACCAACTAAACCCTAAACCCTCAAGTAGATACTTGGGTCCCAAACCAATTGGCATAACGGTATTGCAGTATGCTATGGAGAAGATTCTCAGGCTGAGGGTCAAGTTTGGAATGGTCATATGGTTTAGGGTTTAGGGTGCAGAGTTTAGGGTTTAGGGTTTAGACCCTAAACCCTAAACCCTAAACCGTACGGTTTAGAGTATTTGGAATATTATACTAGAAATCGATACTTAGGTTTTGGGGGGGTACTTTGGACTCTTGGATGGGGCTGAGGCATGAGGACGGCGGCGCTGAGGCAATGTGGGCCATTGGGTTTAGGGTTTAGGGTTTAGGGTTTAGGGTTGGTTACCCCTATTACAGTGGCCCCCGTATGGGAGAGACGGCGGTTAATGGTTTAGGGAGTGGTTTATGGTTTAGGGTTACGGGCCTACAGTTTAGGATTTAGGGTATTCAGTTGATACTAAAAGCTCTGCATCACTCGCCAGTACCTCATACCTAGGGAATGATGCTGTTGTCGTGTACTGAGGGGGCTCATAGAATCAGCAATACCCCCCGGAGTGTAGGGTTGGGGCGGAAAACACGGTTTAGGGTCTGGGGTTTTGGGGTTTATGGTCTGGGGTTTGGGGATGTAGGGTTTTAGGCTTTAGAGGTTTAGACTTGGATAAGCAACAGGATTGTCTCCCCCAAGTCTGCATGAACAAATCACGCAACATTGACCGTGTCAGTACCGTGCTTACCCTAAGGGTCCAAGGACGCAAATAATAGAGCTTTAGGGCCCAAATACCAGTAATTAGTACAATAGTATTTGGGCCCAAAAACCTATTATTTGGGCCCTTGGACCCTTAGGGTAATAACTCTGATAGTAACCTAAACCCTAAACCCTAAAGCCGGTTTTTTTGGGTCCTTGGACCCTTAGGGTAATATAGACCCGTGAACGTGGGGAGCATCGGCGCATCCCCTGAACGCTAGACCCCACTTGGAGGGTCATGGGGACGTAGAAAGTGGGTTAATAATGGGGATAATTGGGTTATTATATGGCTTATAGGGGTTATTAGCCTGCTTCCTAAGTCCCCATGACCCTGCAAGTAAACCTTGGGTCAATCCCCCACCCAGTAACACGAGGGACTATTGTCGGTATATTCAGGCCTTATTTACTCCATATTAAGGAGCTATTACTATGGAGAGGGGTTGACCCAACCTAAACCCTATAGACCCTCAACCCTCTTTACTCGAGGTTAAGGAGCTATTAATATGGGAGCTGGAAATGACGTAACCTAAACCCTATAGACCCTAAACCCTCAAACTTAGCTTTCGCAGTTGGATTAACTGCACGTCAAACCGCGAGCTGTATACCTTGGCTTCTGCCCTCGCCCGGCAGCGCTTAGATGGTAAATACACTATAGTTACAGGTTTAGGGTGCAAGGATTACCCTAAGGTCCAAGTACCCAAATAATAGGGCTTTAGGGCCCAAATACCATTCATATTAATGGTATTTGGGCCCTAAAATCCTATTGTTTGGGTCCTTGGACCCTTAAGGATAGTTACATGCTTAGGGTGCAAGGATTTTATAGCCGCCAAGATGCATCCTATTACACACTCTCCTTGCCTTAAGGGTCCAAGGACCCAAATAATAGAGTTTTGGGGTCCAAATACCATGTATATTATAATATTTGGGCCCTAGAACCCTATTATTTGAGTCCTTTCCAAATACCATTTATATTATAGTATTTGGGCCCTAGAACCCTATTATTTGAGTCCTTGGACCCTTAGGATTACATAGCCGCCAAGATGCATCCTATTACACATTCTTCCTGGGCGGAGCAGTACCCAAAGTATACCTCAAGCAGCGAAACCTTCGATCTTGAGCCAGAATCCTTGAGCCCGTGCCCGCCACAAGCTCACATGGAACTTGAGGACCCCTGGTACATAGACTACTGTCCTCTAAAGGGGGGGCTATAT